AAAAAGAAAAAAAAAAAAGAAGAAAAAACTCAAGGCCGTCGCCCTTGTTAAAAAAAAGAAAAAAGAACCTTTTTGGTGTTGGGCGCCCGAAAAAAACCTGGGGCCGGACTATGCACCCGAGGAAAACGATCTGGGGGTATTTTCATCCGACGAAGGGTGGGTAGGCCGGTAGGGCCCATGGAAAACTGCCTCAGGTAGGGCCTGAGGCGGGATGAAAATACCCCCCGATTTCTAATTATAGCTCTGGCGCCCATTGATTGATTGATTGATTGATTGATTGCATCGTTGGTTTGTCTGTTTTTCTTTCAGAGAGATGGTCACCGCCTGTCTATCGGACACTGCTGACAAACAGGATAGAGTGGAGGTGCTTGTATAGGGTCACTACGTGTGAGAGAAAGAGGAGAGCAGGACCTCTGTGACATACCTTACTCAGTACAAAACCCGAGGGCCACAGATCTGCAGGATAAGAGTTCAAATCCTCTCAGATTTCGCTGTGTTAGAGACTGCAGCTTCCTTTTTTTTCTGTTTTTCCGGCCGGTAAACCGTAGGCAGAGATGAAGAAGACAGCAAATGAGGGGCTGTGACAGACTGTTTTGTCAGAGTTGACTGATCAGGAGGCTGAACCCTCTACAGTCTGCAGAGTCCCCTAGCCGATGATACTTTAAGCGATAATCCACCTTAACCCCAGTTGCAGTTAAGCATCAACAACTGATACCCTGAGGTGGGCTGAGGTGGGCACGAACCACTGCCCTCAAGGTAGTCGTGACAAAAATCCTTGGTCTGCTGTGGGTGAGTGATACTCTGCACTGCTGTGTGAGCAAGCAGAAAACAAGTGATAACACTATGCCTCTTTGTGTGTGTGTGTGTGTGTGTAAACTGTCACCACAACAGCCCCTTTTGCACCCAGGTGAGCAGATCCAAAATTGAAACAGCTTTGCCTCTGTACCAAACAATGAAGCATACTAAGATGAGCAAATCTAAATGCGCGCGCGCGCGCGTGTGTGTGTGTGTGTGTGTGTGTGTGTGTGTGTGTGTATGTGTGTGTGTGTGTGTGTGTGTGTGTGTGTCCAGTCATGCTATAGCCTGACCGGCAATGTTGGTACACCAGTTCCGGACATAACCAGTTATATCCTATATCCACTCTCTGTCCCATTGACTATGCAGGAGATTTTGCTATTCACATTAACATAGGCCAACAGGGTTATCCTGGAAGCTTCACGCACACATGCATATACAATGAACAGAAGCGGACCGCGTACGGCATGTAGGGATACACTCACAGAGAACACAGAAGTAATGACAGACTGTTCCGTCAATCGCTCACCGAGTCATCAGGAGGCTGAACCGTAGACAGTCTGCAGAATCCCCTGACAATGCTTGTTGTCATAACCTGCTCTAAACCCTGTTGCGAGTGGGCAAACAAAGCAAAGCCTGCAGCCCGGCATTGACAAGGCAACTCATAGCAATGCCAGCGGGCAGGCAGGTGGGCGCGGGGCCAGACACACAGTAACACCACAAGGCAAGTACTAGACAGCATATAGCAAGGCAAAGCCGGCAAGCGGGGGGCACGGTGCATGGTGCACACACACAGCAACACAGCATAGATAACATACAGCAAGGCAAGCGGGCAGGCAGGCCGGCAGGTGAGGTTGCGAGCACACAACAACACAGCAAGGCACGCAGGAAAGAGGATCAACACAGAAGGTGACAGATGCAGCAAGGATATTTCTTAAGCGCATCATATTGAAACGGTTTCACCCAGTTGACCTTGTACTGCAGTCACAGAGATTCGATCCCTAGACCTGTGCCCTAACCCTGTACATTGACCCTGTGTGCTGAGTGAGATTCGATCCCTAGACCTACCCTGTACCTGTACATAGACCCCGTGACCTGAGTAGGATTCGATCCCCAAACCTGTCCTACGACTTAGGTTAGTCTGTAGTTTGGTCAGTAGGACTTGATCCCTAGGTCTGTAGATTAGCAGCTAGGTCTGTAGATTAGCAGCTAGGTCTGTTACCAATAGGCCTAGAAAGCCTGTGCTAGAAGTCTCTACTGAGTCTGTCGAAAGTCTGTAGAGTCTGTAGGTTCCAGAAGTCCGTAGGGTTCTGTAGGGGGGGTCCAGCCAGCATGTACCTGGGTAAGGGCTGCACGTGGGGAAGGTTCTGGAGCATGCAGAGAGTTCCACACGTTTTGGCCCAGAAGGCCAAACGTCTGGAAGCTTCCCTGGGCCACACGTTTTGGCCCAGGCCCACAGGTCTGGAGGCAGGGTCCGGGTACCTCCGAAGAAGTATAAATAAACAGGCAGCGTCCAGCCATTCATTTATTCGCCTGTGAGCCATGCGGAAGAGCTGCCTTGGTGTCTTGTGCATGGAGGTCTGCAGGTGCCTGGAGACGAAGTGGGCAGTGAAGAAGACAGCGGCCATAGCTGGCCAGTGGGGTAGATGTCGGCGGCCATAGCCAGCAGGAGGAAGACGACGACGGCCATAGCCGCCCAGCTGTTGGTGAAGACAAGTGTTCAGAGTGTGTGAGGCTGTGCTGAGTGGGGACATTCAGGGTGATCCTCGTACGTGCACGCATGAGACAGTGAGGGAGAGAGTGAGGCTGGTGGTAGAGACCGTGTTKGGCGGCCATAGCCGCAAGTTGTGCAGCTGTTAAGATTGAGTTTAAGACAAGTTCATTGTTGTTTTTTTTTTGAGTTGAAAGAGTTCAGTCTTGCCATCGGTTCTCAAGTGTGCATGTTGTGAGCAAGTCCAGAGTTGAGTCTGATTGCA